CACAACGCCTGGCCATTTTTTTGGTTGCAGCCATCATTGTTGTTTGGTGGGCCTGGGCTGGGGATTCGAACCCGCCACCTTAGGTGTATATGGCTGGCGCCTTAGCCGCTTGAGCCACAGGTGCCGAGCCATTTTTGCAATTTTTTGGCTGGAGCCAGGTTTGAACCCACCACCTCTGGTATACGGGGCTGGCATCCTACTCCTTTGAGCCACAGGTGCCGCCTGCCAATTTTTCTATTTTTTGTAGAGATAGGGTCTAACTATGTTGCCCATGCTGATCTCAAACTCCTGGGCTCAAGTAATCCTCCTGCCTCAGCCTCCCAAAATGCTAGTATTATAGGTATGAGTTCCTGCACCTGGCCTACACCTACCCTAAAAAAACAAATGAAAGGCTGGGTGCCTATAGTCCAGTGGTTAGTACACTGGCCCTGTCCATGGTGGGGGAGTAGGTTTAAACCTGGCCTGGGCCTGCTTAACAAACAAACAAACAACTGCCAGGACACAATAGGTACTCAATAATTGTTGAATGAATAAAGGCATGGCAATATGCAAAGTCCATGCTATTTCCTAGATGTTTGGGGAATTCCCACCCCCTGCCACCTAGGCATTGTTGCCACCCCATTCCCAGTCACCTGATTTTCTTGGCCACTTCCTCCAGGGAGACACCATGGTGAAGAGCAAGTTGGCAGAGGTGTAGAAAGGCCATGCCCAGGCTCTCATTCTTAAAGTGGTGGATCTCCTCTTCACTTGACAGCTCCCACAGTGATACCACGTCATTCACAAACTCATATTTGCCCTGAGGATGGGGGAGTAGGGCAGAAAAGGAGGTATGAGAATGCATTCATTCTAGCCAGAGGACTGTGATTTACTATTTCTAGCGACCTTGGAGAAGGGAAATATCACTGTTTTCTAGAAACCCCAAAATTACAGCACATATACCTCCCCTGTGCAATCTTGTACCTGTGGCAGACATCACTAATCAATCATAGCACTCTTTCCCCTTCAACCCAAACATTTGGTTCAGGTAGCCAAGAGACTCCAGATGACATGAGTTGAAAACTACTAGCTAGGCGGTGCCTGTGGCTCAAGGAGTAGGGAGCCAGCCCCATATACTGGAGGTGGCAGGTTCAAACCTGGCCCCAGCCAAAAAAACTGCAAAAAAAAAAAAAAAAAATAATGATAATAATAAAAAGAAAACTACTAGCTATATTGAATAGGGGAGAAAAGTGGGGGCTGCTCAACTGTTCCTAGTCCCCTATAAATAGTCCTGCCTCCCCACTAGCCCTGCTCACACCTGCTCAAAGAGGTACTCAAATGAGGCTGGGTCTAGGAGTTGCACCCCATTCTCTGTCTGTTCTGAGGAAGCCTCAGTGCTTGGGGGCCCACAGCGGTACACAGCTGGCTCCTGAGGATTCATTCCATGCCAGTTCCGGAAGTAAAACCTGAAAGAAGGGAAAGACATAGATATGAACTTAATACAGACTCAGATCAGCTTTAGAACAAAAGGGAACAAAACTTCTCAGGGGCCTTTACCCACCTCATGCGGAAATATAGCATTAGGCTTGTGTCTCTGGAGATCTCTATGATATGGTTTGGGGGTAGCCAGACTTGGGCCTGGGAATCGAAGAGGGCAAAGAGATTGACACAGGGAGGAGTGATGCCTGCATCAGAGAAAAGAAGTCAGGAGTCAGGTCATCTGATACCATCAGCCATGAGGACCCCCAGATCC